GACTGCCTCGTAAGTCGAACCAACACACCCTTCGTACCTAACGTGACGAACTACCCACTTCCCAAGAAGTTTAAAATGTCATCCGTTGAAACCTTTGACGGTACGAAGGACCCACTTGATCACCTCGAAACTTTTAAGACCATGATGCAACTACACAGCGTCCCCGACGAAATTATGTGTAGGACATTCCCAATTACCTTGAAGGGATCAACGCGACAATGGTTCGCCAAACTCACCCCGGCCTCCATAAGCTCCTTCGCCGAACTGAGTAGATCCTTTGTGACACAATTCATTGGTGGACGCCGCCAGCAGCAGCCTATCATCCATCTGCTCAGCATAAAACAAGATCGTAATGAGAGTTTAAGGAGTTACCTCACTCGTTTTAACGAGGAAGTCCGCCAAATCGAGGAACCCAATGACAAAGTCGCCATGACTGCCTTCCTGGGAGGCCTCTGCTCATCCAGATTCTTTTTTTTCAGTAATAAAGCAACCACCAAAGAGCATGCCAGAACTATTCACAAAAGCTCAAAGATATATGAATGCTGAGGAAATCAANTCTGGGAAACGACAAAATTCTCACTCCTGAACATTACATCCATTGAACTAATGGTGATCACTACCTGATCCATGAACCAACCTGAAGACAATCCTCCACGAGAGGAAGAGATTGCTCCCCTGCCTACCAATTCTGTCCCTGATACTCTAGCTCCGAATCCCCAGCAAATGTTGGAGACCATGCAACAACTGGTTGCTCAAAACCAANAAAACTTGGCCTCTGCACTGTTCTCAAACACGCAGCCTATCTCTAGTTTAGCGGCTCTCTCACGGGTCGCCAAAAAACTTGGCTTCTACACTGTTCTCAACACAGGCAGCCTATCTCCAGCTTAGCGGCTCTCTCACGGGTCGCCAAAAAAAATTTGGCCTCTACACTATTCTCAAACAGGCAGTCTATCGCCAGTTTAGCGGCTCTCTCACGGGTCGCCAAAAAACTTGGCATCTGCACTGTTCTCAAACAGGCAGCCTATCTCCAGCTTAGCGGCTCTCTCACGGGTCGCCAAAAAAACTAGGCCTCTGCACTATTCTCAAACAGGCAGTCTATCGCCAGTTTAGCGGCTCTCTCACGGGTCGCCAAAAAACTTGGCATCTGCACTGTTCTCAAACAGGCAGCCTATCTCTAGTTTAGCGGCTCTCTTTGAGATCGCCAAAAAAAACATAGTCTCTGCACTGTTCTCAAACAGGCAGCCTATCTCCAGTTTAGTGGCTCTCTCACGGGTCGCCAAAAAACTTGGCCTCTGCACTGTTCTCAAACAGGCAGCCTATCTCCAGTTTAGCGGTTCTCTCACGGATCGCTAAAAAAAAAAAAACTTGGCCTCTGCACTGTTCTCAATCAAGCAGCCTATCTCCAGCTTAGCGGCTCTCTCACGGGTCGCCAAAAAAATTTGGCATCTGCACTGTTCTCAAACCAGCAGCCTATCGCCAGTTTAGCGGCTCTCTCACGGGTCACCAAAAAACTTGGCCTCTACACTGTTCTAAAACATGCAGTCTATCTCCAGTTTAGCGGCTCTCTTTGGGATCGCCAAAAAAAAACTTAGCCTCTACACTGTTCTCAACACAGGCAGCCTATCGCTAGTTTAACGGCTCTCTCACGGATCGCCAAAAAAGCTTGGCCTCTGCACTGTTCTCAAACAGNGAGCACCCCAAGGAGCTCCACGTCCTGGACATAAAAAAGCTCCACACCTTGCACATCAAGCAGCTCCACAACTTGTTGATGGAGGTGCACAATATGGAGGACCCCAAGGAGGANATACCTCAAGCTTAAAGACTCCCTCATGGGTCGCCAAAAGCTAGGTCTCAAAAAGTGTAGCTCTCTCACAAGCAGTTCTCTAACTCTGTCTTTGCTCTCGCGCAAGCAGCCTACTTCTCTCTCTCTAGATAATTATGTGAGATATTTTAATGTTTGGAATAACATTATTTTTGTCATCACAAG